AAGTATTGGTAGCATTTAAATTAATTTCATGAAAAAAAATCTTAGTGGTCGTTTTAGGCTAGATTCTATAGAGAAGCAAAACCACAAATGTGTTAGTCTGGGTTGACTAGAGAAACAAATTCATAGACACTCCTATGTGTATAAGAAAGAGATTTCTATACAAGAGCAATTGAATATTCAGAAAACATCTCAGCACAGTCCAGATCAAGTCCATATGTCTGATATTAGCTCATATGTTTTTGATATCAATCTATAAAGTCCTCTTTAGACTCAGGAAGCACATGCAATGATGCTGAATGCAGGAAGATCACAGGCCAATTGGTGGAAGTCTCGTGGATCCAATGGCAGCGGAAGCTTCTCAGCGCTGGCAGGGGTCTCCACGTGGCTCCTTCAGCTCCAGGGCTCTACCGTAGCTCCATGTATCTTGTCAACATGGAGCTGGGAGTCTGTAAGGATGTCTGGCAGGGAGTGTCCATGTGTCCTGCCTCCAGCGAGCTATTTATCTCCTTAGCACCTCCAAATGAGGTCATCCAGCTGCGACCTGATTAACCAGCTAGACTCCACCCCTTCACTCTTATCTCAAATTGACAACAGATTATGCAACTACCAAAGCCAATGACATTGGTTTTGAATGTATATAGAAAGAGATATAGATCAAGAAATGACTCACACAGTTGTAGAAATGGCTAAGTCCTGTCTGACCCAAGTCTAGGAGTCACAGTTTAGCTGAAGGTTTCTCCTGACTCCGGCAGCTGCAGGAGCTGAGGAACAGCAAGCAGAGAACCACAGACTGGTGAATGGTGAGCTGAATGAATTCAAGATCGGCCAAATGAATTCCAGGTCAGCAGTGGCTGGCTGAAGGTTCCTGGGCTTGTCAGACCATATAGCAGGAAGTTGAGGAACTAGAAGCAAAGTCTAAAATTCAGCAGAAGTTAACTAGTTTCCACCCACTGTCAATTTATAAGAGTAGACCACACTTTGAATGAAATCTGCATATTCAGTCTGTGACCAGATGAAGGCGATGTATGCCGTCAGCATGGTCTGTAGTTGTAGTAGGGAGCCAGAATAGGGACTAAGTGGGGTTGTCTCCCCAAGTGCCTGCATAGGTCCGCAACAGAGGGGCTGCAGAAAAATCAGGTACCCATTAGACACATATGGAAAAATCCAAACGGAGCATGCACAGACTAGAACCGACCAAGCGCAGGTGAAACTAACCTAGCCACCACCTAGGCACATGACATCACACAGGTGTGCCTAAATTCAGCCAATAAGGTTGGCCAATACCCTGAACTACGCCTCCCTAGCCAGGGAGGCAGGAGGAAATGAAGGCAGGGCTCGCAGTCCTGCAGCTCTCTCGGCCCCTGTGATTTCCTGGTTCTGCAAGTGAGGTTTTGTGCTCCTGTATCCCTTCTAGGTGGGTTTTTGCATTCGGTTGCAAACTCCTGCCAAATTCCCACACAGCCTTGACACAGCATGTACTGTTTCAGAGTGTAATACCTAAAGCTTCCCTTTCCCTCACAGAGTCGCTTGGATTGCAAACATGCTTCTGCCACACGAATTCTTTCAGTGTGAAGGAGCAAGAACCAAGGTATCCCAATGAAGAAACCTAACAGTTGGAAACCACCAGCAGTCCACAGGAGAAAGATTGGACGGTCTACTCCTGTAAACAGGTACAGTCTGAGAAACTCACAGGGGTCACTATGAATCAGCAGTGTTTTGTTTGTTTATTTATTTTCTCCCTGTAAGTGCTTGGCTGCTTCACAGAAGCATCGTGGAGTTGACCACACTACGTGAGGTCGTATCATGGCTCATCCAAGTTGATATACAAGCTAACAATCAGAATGGTATTCTGCAATTTTTAAGTTTCGTAGGTAAAAAACAAACAAACAAAAAACGTTGAGAGATTAATGTTGCGCAGAGTTAAACTAGCCTCCCCATAAATAACGTATAAAATGTGATGTGGCTTAGACTCCCGGTTTTCCCATTCACCATTGTGCTGTTGTTAAATATGCACATGCTCACTCAGCAGAGGAGAGAAAACGTCTTATTTGATGTCTTGACTTTGATGGTTTGTTAGGGATGCACAGGGTCCCCTGGTATGCCTGAGTGATTACAGGCACATCTGACATTTCAGAAGGAACAACAGTGGGTGTAAGAGTAGGGACAATGGACAACTTGCTGAGAAAAAGATGGGACTACAGGAAGAGGATTGTCTCTAACGCCCAGTTAGCTATAGAGAGTGCTTCCTCTTCGTGTGAGACAGAGCACTATGGACACTAAATTAACTTCTGAAAGATATCAACCACTATTTATAGTTTTACCCGAATTTCCAAAAGAAACAGTCTCGCCACCATCAAGTCCATTTTGCCTCATAGTGACCCCACAGAACAGGGTAGAGCTGCTCCTGTGGCTTTCTGGGCTAGTAACTTTTTATGGGAGTATAACACCTTTCTCCAGCACAACAGCTGGTGGTTTCGAACTGCTGACCTTGCATTTAGCAGCATGCCACCAGGGCTTCCCTTCCTGAACTTACTACCTGTTTAATGTTGACACGAGAAGCTGGTTTCTCTTAAATCGACAACAGTGCTCCTTCAGTTGTTAAACAAACAGAAACACACATTCGACTGAGTGATCTTAAGATAGAGGAGGATAAGATCTTAGCAAAATGGATCGGATTCTCCTGGACTCTTGATTTTTGAGTTGATGGAGTTGGAGTGACTCACACGCATAGGTGTCCTTTCGGATCTTGGAAAAATTGGTTCCCTGGAGTCACCTACAGGTCAAAGAAGAGTCTATAACCTCTGTAGTGGACATGTTTTAGCCTTGGTCATTAGATTCTTTTAGAGAATTATCTAAGTCCATCCAGCTTCTAGGAACAGGAGCCTCAGTATCTGACCAAAAAATGTATAGCATGTCCTTCGTGACTCTGTTTTTCAACTGCCTGGAACCCTGCAAAGAGTTTGATGTGCTCTTCTGAGAAATTAACAGAGTAATCACTTATACATATCGCCCCTTTTCACTGTTTTCTCTTCACTTCCCCTTCCTGCTAAGTCAATGGTGACTGCCCTCCTTGAATAGTATCCACTCACAGGAGATGCAATCTTTTACACTAAATGTTGGTATCTCTATAAACATTTATGTTTCAGACACTATATTGGCAAGGAAAGACAAGAGTCTGTCAGAGATTATGTATAAACTTCAGAGTATTCTAGACTTGTTTTAAACCTACAATATGAATTCATCTATTTTATGAGTAGTTTCAAATGTGAATTCTAACAAAATTATATATATTTGAACATATTTATTTGAATAACCCAAAACACCTAATGTGTTGCTGTTGAGTCTGCTCAGACTTACAAGGACCCCAGAAGACAGGTTTGAGCTGCCCTCTTGTTCTTCCGACGTTTCCCTGTAGTTCTTTGAGACCAAACCACAGTTACTGCCAGGAGGTGACATCCAGGCGGCTAACCACCATATGAAGAAATGTGCCTGATCATTAGCATTATGAGTAATACATATTAAAACAGTGGTGAGATATCACCTCTCACTGATAATTTTAGCAAAATTTTATAAAAGAGACAATAACAAATGCTAGAAAGGCTATTGAAAAAAGGAACACTTTTACATTGTTGGTGGGACTGTAGAATTGTAAATCCATGATGGGAATTTGTATGGGACTTTTTTAAATGTAAAAAATGCAAAATTTATGTACTTTATGATCCAGGAATATCTCTATTGGATATATACCCAAAAGAAATTAAGAATATAACATGAACAGTCATATGTGCACCTATGTTTATTGCACCAGTTTGCACAACAGCAAACATATGGAAACAATCCGAAACCCCAACCATAGAGGAATGGATAAACCAGTTTTCGTACATTCATACTATGGAATTTTATGCGTCAGTAGAAAACAATAATAACTCTTTTAAGAATCACAAGGCATGGAAAAACCCAGAGAACATTATGGTAAGCAAATTCACCGAATTTTACACAGATAAATATTTAATATCACCATTGTTACAAGGTAAAACCAAAGTAGGTGCTATGTGGTTTATACACCCATAGACAAGACTTTGATGACCAAGAGGAGCCCTGGGACAGTGGTGGGGACAGGGAGAGGGGAGGGTTTGGGAGAGGGTGACAACAAATGGAGGGTCCAACATGGAAAGAAAAATTGCCTCCTTACAAAACAAACCCCCCTCCAGATTCCTTAGATCTTCCTTAGATCTAACTATTGGTCTGAGTAGCTAAAGGGGAGGAAAAGTAAAACTAAACCAGGCTTGGCATCTTTAT